ACATCCCTATGGTAACCAAAGCTAAAATAACTACTGACATCCCTATGGTAACCAAAGCTATAATAACTACTGACATCCCTATGGTAACCAAAGCTTGCATCACTTATCCAATGACATCACTATAACTACTGACATCCCTAYGGTAACCAAAGCTTGTATCACTTGTCCAGTGACATCGCTATAGTAACTACTGGTGTAAGCCTGTAGTAACACACCATAGTTGGCATTGTTTTCAAGCATCATCATCAGTTCTAGCTTTCTTTGGTTTACCATTTTGCAAATCCTGTTCTTCTGTCAGGTTGCTGAAGGATTTGATAGTTTTGTAGGTACTTTTGTCATCATCAGTCAAAGGAGTATTACCAGGACGCACACTCAGCACTGTCTGCATACCAGCTTCTGTCGCAGCACACGCTTCTATAGAAAAAAGAATGACATGTTAGCCAGTGTGAACACCAATAATAATTACATTTAAATTTCACTCCAGTATCAACTGGCAGGAATGACAAAAAGGGATAGGAAAGAAAAAAGGGAAAATATGACATCCCATTTCTTTTCCCAGTTTTTCTTTCCAACTCTTACCTTTAACTACGTCAGTGATAAACAATATCTCCCCAGGCTTCTCTCCAACACACTCTACAATTTTCTTGTAACTTTCACATTCAACTTTTAGTCCAATCTTAGTGTCAAAGTGACCACTAAAATACTGGAAATAAAAGAAAACAATTTTGTATTTTACATAGCAATAATTACGATTGTGTAAAACTAATATTCTATGAATACATAAGTAAGCAAAGTATATTAATGCAAAATGTGCCTGTAAACTTTATGGAAAGCTCATGGAAAGTGAGGTTGCCAGAATTCTGTTATAGACAGAGTAACTGGCCATATTAAGTGTGTCTAGGGGTCCATTAAGCAGGGCCGTTTAGTCATGGATTTTTTTGATGCTATCCAACACACCTTTAGTAAATCTCCTTTGTCTGAATACTTAAAAAGAAGTTTTTGTGCTTCTACACTTCCAGATGAATAGATATATACTTTTATTCTAGAAGAGGTCCATTCTTCAAGAGCTGGCACAACATCGTCATAGACCCTATTGAAAAAATCAAACTCCACCTCAGTACCTCTGGGCTTCCTGTGGATGGTTCACCACAAGGTAACCAAAAGACTGTGGTACTCTTTGAATCTTGCTTTCATACAAAATTTGTTTCCATGATTCAATTTTTCACTTTTTATCCTCTTAACACCTTTCTTAATATGTTTTTTTCTTGATCTGCTGCTGTAGGCATTTTATCATGGGCTTCCTGTGGATTGCTCACCACAGGTAACCCAAGAAACCATGATGTCAAAAAAAAWTTTTTAATTAAGACTGACTTACTCTCCCTTGATTTCTCCATCTTCATATGCTTTTTTCCAAATGTGCCCCTGAAGTTGTTTTAATGCTGTTATCTTACGATCCGAATCCATTTGCCACAGCACATTATCTACAATGGATCTGATGACTTTTTCTCTGAAAACCAATAATSAAAGTTATAAATTTGTTCATGGAATCCCAGGATCCTTATCATTGTGTGAGCTATTAACCAGTGTGCATTACATTTTCCTCCTGAAATTTCTTCTTAATAAAGTGGCTTCCAATTTTTTTTTTTTGGGGGGGGGGGGGTACACCACCTATATTTGCTATACAGGTATGTCGTRCGTGCCGCCAAACAGGGTATGGTTTTTTGCTCTGGGACATGGTATATGAAATCACACTCTCTCCTCTCTGGAACTGGGTATCCATTTTTGCAATACCGGAACAGGGTATGATTTTCAGCGATCGCTCTGGAATAGGGTCAGGGTTTAGTGGGCTCAGTGGCACATTCCTACCCTAAACAGGCAAGAGTACCCCCTCCCCCAGATCAGAATATAATACTACAGGGACTGCAGAGCTTGGGGGCTGAAAAAAAAAAGGACTTTACCAATGATTTTGCCACCATTTTTGATTTATTTGCTAATTTTTTATTTGATATAAAAATATTAGTCCCCCTCCCCCAATCCAAAACACTCGCTCCATGGTCCCTCCACTACAATCTTATAACTCTGGATTATCTTGAACTCTCATTATTTCAAACCTTTTCCCCGGTCCCCAAAATATCAAACAGGATTCCACTGTATTAAAAATAATGGTGATTGAACCGTCTACTTACTTCGTAGTTTCATCAATATTCTCATCATCTTTGTCATACTTGAGTATAGGAACCATGCCATCTAAATCTTTATCCTTTTCTGCCTTAAACACGATAAAACACAAAACAAAATGTCGATCATCACTTTAATAAAGAATCTCATGCTCAGGTGTTGAAGGGCTAGATGATATTCAAACCCCAATAGAATAAATTCTATCCCTCACCCCCTCTCTCCAMATGTCCATTATGGCCTTTTACTGCCATAAATCCTAGTTTGAAGCTAGACCTTTTTTATGGTGTAAATTTACTTAAGCGTGGTTTTTCACTATGATATATGCATATGCATAAGAACACGTCCTCRCTACAACATAAGTCAACATAAGCACAAGCAGAAGCATAAAAAGAAGGGGATTGTTTTGATCCTTGTACTTGTGCTTGTGCTTGTGCTTGTACTTATGTCGCAGTGAGGACGTCAACAGAGAAGTGAGTGRGCTTGATACACTTATGTCTGTGTTTATGCTTATGCTTATGTCGCTAGTGAAAACCACGCTGGAAATCTTAGCCTAGGTGGCTCTAATTTCCCTGGTTTACCCTGCTAGTTGCAGCAGCCTTATTCCTCTAAATTACAACTCTTCTACTCGCCTGCCCATTATACTATACCTGTTCTTGCAGTGCTTTGATATCTTGTTGACATTCTGTCGTGATCCAGTTCTTTTTAAGGTAATTCTGTACGTTCTTTCTAACGTATGGAAATAATGTATCCTACATAAAGAAAAAAATACCCATTACAGTTGATTTCATAAAACTTCAGCCACTCCGTGTCTGAAGTTCATTTGCAAGTTCACAACTCCGTAATCAATTTCACTATGAAGTTCTGATGTTTGTCTCCATTCAAATTCTATTTTCAAAGTAAATTTTATTGCSAGAAAAGGAATTTGACTTTGTATGTTGTCTGGAATACAATTTTCGAAAAGTATATGGTTTAAAGAAGCAATTCCAGTAAATATTTGAATTCTAGACATAAATAAGTCACAGTTGATTGAACCAATTTCACAAAAAGTTTGCAAGTTYGGGACAAACTTGGAGTACTTGGGAACCATAGTTAATGGAGCTGAATGGTTTGGAAACTCCATAGAGCAAAGCTATTGTTTTGCTTTTGATGTTGAACCGTACCATCACGTGATACTGAGGGTGCACGATGAACCAAAGCAAGTATGGCTGAAATAATCCTCATTTCCTTATTATTTTCATGTATGAACATTTTGAAAGTGAAAACTTTCATTCGATGACCACAAACTATGCGGATAAATATTTCCGCGCAGATACAGCTAAGTTACTAGATGATAAATAAGAAAGCTTGAAAAAAGGCAATTTCCTTTTAAATAAACAATTTGTATTAATCATGTAGGATTAATTAACAAATAATGAGTATTTTAGAACGTTTTTTAGAGTTAAAAAATTCTAYATTCCCGAATACTATGAACAAACGGAGGAACTTTTCCTTTTCTGTGCACTGCCAAAGTCATATAATAATGGATAAAGTCGAACAAAAACACAGAACAATGTTTCCCAACCATTCCGCTCCATTAACTATGTTGGGAACTGTTTTCGGAATKAAAGCGGCCGAAGTTTTGTGAAACCAACTGTAATCTTTATAACTGACTTCTTCGTTTGCAATAGACGTCATAGCCGCCATGTTGGAAGAATTTGTCAAAAGATTTTTCAATGAATTCTTTTGTTATATCTTCCAACATGGCGGACATCCCTTTTGTTATTGTGCTCTCTTGGGATTCATTGCAAACCAAGAATAAATAATAGAAGATAATATAGGTAAGTTGTAGTGCTTGGAAACGAGGTTATTCCGGGCGAAAGCCCTTGGAATTAAATTCGGAAAAATTAATTTCCSACCTCGCTGGGATAAATAAATTAAATAATGACAATGACAATCAACTCACATGTTGATTTTTACGAGGGAGGRAACAACGTTCAATCATCCGTCCGTTAATATCATTATTAGCACTTGATTACGTAAGCTTATACCCGATCTCTAATGAAATATTTTTTTTCAACATACATATTTAGCAAATATTTATTGTACCTTAACGAATGTTATAGGTGTCGTTGTACCTTCAATGTCTAGAAGTACAACCCTGAATGAGCGGCGAATGTCCCGCCGTTTCAGTACTTTTTCATTTTCAGCATCAAGTTCGACCGCCATTTTTGGGTACCAACCGTTCACACCACAGGCAACCCAGGCTCCCTACATTTAAAAGGGTATGATAAATTTGCGGATAGATGGGATACTCGCAGCTATGTCATATTATACACCTGGATCAAGATAAATTGAACTAATAAGAGAAGGAATTCCCTCTTAACCATCATGTGCACAGTTTGATGCTATTTTTAAACCATTTGTTTTTATGCACGCGCATTTACTGTGCGCGCTCTACGATGTTTGCTTACGTTTTTGGGGTTTTTCCGTTATTTCATCACAGGAAGCCCATACAAGCTTTGAGAGCTGAAAATAATTTAA